TTGGTCCATCACTGACTGCAGGCTTATGAATGGATCTTCCTTCCAGGCAAATGGACTGACATGTTATTCAGCCTGAATGTATGTCCTTTTTAAAAAAAATAAAATTTGAAAGTGTTTATATATTGCTTTTTCCCCCAAACAGGACCCTCCAGGCAATGCATAATTACATTGAAATAGCCACGTCCCTATTCAAAGCTAATTTTTAAAAATACAGGTCAAGACAATTTTGAGTCAAAAATCTGTGAAAGCAGTAAGAACTTGTAGTACCTTCTTAAAGGCTCAGTAAAGATTATCTCAACTGAACCATGTCTGGGAGAGAATTCAGCAATCAAGGTGGTCTTGCTGAAAAGGCCTGTCTTATGTATCCACCTGTCTAACTTGTTTTGACAGTAGAATATACATCAGGGTCTAATGAATACTGCAAATTATTTTACAGTTCACACCGGAAGGGTGATTAACTTTTAAGCAACTGGAAAAATGGTTTCCAATTGTGATTGTACTGAGATTTTGCCTGAATATGCGTGTATATGTATGGGGGTGGCAGTGTTCACTTCAAATGATCTTTTGAAGCAGAATAAAAGCATCCTGTTGTACAAATTGATGTTGACAAGTTTAATCACATGCTGTCTTGTCTCTTGTTTTTTCTCTCTCTTCATGTTTCTTGTCTTGAATATTACATTTTATTCAGACATTTAGTGGATGATAAAGCCGTTCCTTTAATTTTTCTATTTTTAGGGCTCAGCAAATTTGTGCAAGCATTTTTACATACCCTTGGAAGGAGAAACTTTGCAACTAAAAGATCCTTTGGCAGCTCAGAATGTAATTACTTTTAGTACAACAGACTAACCTCATTAGTGATTTTTAAAGAATTCTTAAGCAGTCTAAGCCAGTCTATATGCAAAATAGGTTATTCTGTTTGGGGCTTATCAGTCAGAGAGAGAAAAAATAAAGTGAGTGGTTCACAGTAAGGAGAAAGCCGCAAGAAATGAAGATCTTCAAATAATAAAGAATTGTATTAAAATAACTTTCATTAAAAGACAAATTCTCTAAATTGGAGAGTTTTATGGAGGAGGATGAAGTCAATATTCAGCTCAAGTACAATGAATACAAAAGAGTACTGAGTAGCTGTATGTGTTGGTATATCCAGTTTACTGATTAGAACCTGGCAGGTGAGCAATTTTTTAGATTTTCCTCATTTAATCCTAACGTCTACCTCCCAGCCCTCCTGAAGCCCAATTTTTCAAAATCAATTTAGTTCCACTGAAATTAATGATACTTCAGAACAACCTTGTACATATATGACTACTCAAAAATAAATTCCAGTAAGTTTGGTACAGTCTACTCCCATGTAAGAGTCTACAAAATTGCACCCTTATGGTACAATCCTGTACAGTGCTTCTGAGTAGAGACATATTGGCTTGTGATGTTGCTTCCCTGTACTGTAGTTGTGCTGTGAACATGGAGGGGGTATGCACCCTTATGGTACAATCCTGTACAGTTCTTCTGAGCAGAGACATACAGTATTGGCTTGTGCTGTTGCTTCCCTGTACTGTGTAGTTGTGCTGTGAACATGGAGGGTGTATGCAGCCTTAAACCAGAACAGGTTCATTGCCTGTTTTTTCTGCACATCAGAGCCTGCTTCAGGAAACAAGGGCCGATATCCCGTTCTGTATTTACAGACACGGAACTCCAGCCATGGAAGCTGTTGTGGCAATGAGACTGCGCTGATTGTGTGCCTCACCAGTTTCAGCTGTTCACATAAGTAAATGCTGAATAGGGTACTGGACAAGGAGGCTTTAGTGAAACAACTCATATGTCTTATGATGGAACTGCATTTTAAAAATCTATATTTTCTTGCTTCTTGCTTAGGAGGATTTGGGCATATTATCTATGCTCATGTTGACACAGGACAAAAATTGATTATACCATTCAGTTTTAACTAAGAAGTAAAATAAAGTCAGTCATACTTGTCTGTAGGGAAGTCTAGAATCTACTGCCAGAGATCACCTTTCTCAATGTGTCCAAATAGTGGGCTGTCTTCTGCCATCTTCCAATCACTTCACTTGCAATCACTTACAATCACTTACAGTCACTTCACTTCATACATTAAGTGAGGTACTACCCCCCCCCAAAAAAAAAAAACCTTGGGCGATGTTGAAGCCATGAATTCCTCTTGGTCATATTTTAAGGAGAGAGTGGCAGAAGAGACACAGATTTAAATGGGACTACAAGGTGCCATACAAGTTTCAGTATAAATACAGAATTATGGGGACAAATAAGCATGCAGTAGTTGATTTCCCCCATCCACGATTATAAAAACAGAGGATTCAAGATCAATAAATGTGTTGCTAAACTGAGGCAGAATGGTAGGTTGAGAAGTTAGTGTAGCTAATATTGGCAGTCATAACCAGAAGTGTATTGATCAAATTGTTTGCAATCCTGTGGACCTGGATATCAGAGCAGAGTAGCAGACCAATGCCTTCATGCCCAGTGACTAAGCTTTTCTCTCCAGAATGCTCAGTCAACATAAGGTTTCAGAAGTAGGTAGAACTCCTTTATTAGGAAAAAGAGGGGCCATACATAAGATGAAAAGATGAATGAACAAACTTACTGCATTCAGCTTTATGAGTCTTGTGCAAATTAGCAAACCCCTTCATTGGACTTTGAAGGAAATGAGTCGGATGGCAGTTTTCATCAAGAGGGATAGAGGGATTACATCTCTGACACCAAACATTTGTTACATCGATGAAGCTACCATACCTACGTAGGATTAGATTGCTTTCTGTTATCCAGTAGAGAAGAATCAAGTTGAGAAGGAGTACAACACATTAAAAATAGCAGATTATTTCCAATATGTGATTCTGACCTGGACAGGATTTATTGCACTTATTTTACATGTAATTGACTACTTTTCACACAGCTAGGTATATTTTCAGTGTAAAATTATACAAAATACTTTGGCAAAATTTAAAAGAACAAGTATGGTGGTGAAATGTAAACATAAGGTAACAGTTTTTCATTAGTCTGTTAGGAAAAGTGTATATTTCTTTTCTGAGTGTCAGCATTCCCTAAATGAGGTGCAATGAAATGGACAAAAAGGTTCTCTGTAAAGAGACTAAAACAATTCTCAAGCCTGATTTTAAAAGAAACTAGTATCCTTTAAAAACAGATGAAAAATAATTCAAGATAAATTTTAAATACAAGACTGAAAGCCTGAAGTCCAGACACAACAATGTAATGTAGGTTACTCACCAGAATTTCAACAACAATAGAGCCAGACTGACTTCTCCTGAGACTGAATTCTCAAGTACAATGGGACAACAGAGAAAGTCCTGGCTTGTGTGTTTACTTCCCAATTGCATAGTTTCTGGAGTTGGAAGATCTAGTTTTTCTTGGTATAAATAAAATTTAGTTGCTCTGGCAAATTATTTTCACTGTCCTGTTGTTGCTTTGGGATTTTCCTCCTTTCCCAGTGGTGAGTACAGTATCTGGTTGGAAGAAAATGAGCCAAAGTAGGAAAGGATTTGCTGTCCCACACTTTATTGTCCTTGAGTGCCTTGCTGGCCAATTTCGTTCCCTATCATTTTGCTGCAGATAATATAAAACTATAGAAATACCATTACCTATACTTAATGCACAAATGAAAGCATATTGTGTTTTATAACTTCGCCATTTGCCATTTGTATTAACTAGAAATAACACTGTAGCAGAGTTATAAAAGATACAAATGGCATTTGTTAATTACCTGGACTACAACTACCATGATTTTTATTTAATGTTCATCCTTTGAGCAAGGCATTGGTTCTGCTGTGATGCATTCTGCTCGAGTCTGCATTCTGTTCAAAAGTTTTATCCGGTGCTTGAGCGTGGTATGCAGTTAGACTTGGAACAATCAATGCTATTTTAAGGGATTCATTTCAACGACTTTGCTGTCACCTGATAGTAACCTTTTTTGGTATTCTGATTTAAGGGTGTAGTAACATAGTGTTCTGTTCAGTTCACTGACTTCAGCTACCTTAGAGGAATGCTTGTGCTGTTTTTACAGCTCACCAGTAATTATTCATCTGAGACAGAATTTTAAAAGGTTCCAGATTAAAAGTCCTGGAGGATAATACAGCTGCAGGATGATTTGATTAGAGCTGGCATGTCTCAGTGGGTTAGAGTGATTGGGTTGCAAGTTTGAATCCCCATTGTGCATCCCAGGAGATAGGCCAGTCATGATCACCCACAGCTGATGGGGGGTTATGTATTCTTTTACCTCTGCAGCCTTGTGCAAACTGCACAGTCCTAGAGTGCCATCAGAAGGAGAGACTGGCAAACAGTTTCTATATACTTTATACATAGAAACTGCTGTTGGTACGTTGAAATTGACTTGCTACTACATAATCAATTAAATCACTTCATTGAAGTGAAAGAGCACTAAAGCTAGTTTCACATCCACGTGCATGCAAACATGTGTCTAAATGGATGCAGTTTTACATGGTGATCATTTCCAGTGAAACATGATCCATTGATGTCCAGAAATACTACCACTAGTTTTTACTAGCATTTAATTTAGTCAAAGAAAAGAAAATTTCACTTGACTAAAGTCCTAGTTTCCTCCCTTTTCCTAGATTTTATGGGCATGCCTCTAACACAACTTAAATATTAAAATAATTGTATACAAATAAACCATATGAGTCTATCTTCAAGAAAAAAAATCCTCCTATATAAACTACAACAGAAAAATAAATGTTTATGAAAATGAATCAAGTGAAAAGTTTACATACTCATCTCCTATCTATTAATATTTTCCTAACATTCACTAGAAAACCAAATCTAAAAAATTAATTCCAGAAAACTCTAGTATTGGCCATGCTTGTCCACTAAAAGTCTGAGTCTTTCTCTTGTATGATCATGTGTCTTTCTTTAAAAATGTGCCAATTAAAAAAAAACCACAAATACCCCCAAAAATGATTTCTGTAGGAATTAAATTGTTCTGTTTGTGTTTTTTTCCACAGGATTATTGAAGCAATCTGTATAGGCTGGTTTACTGCAGAGTGCATTGTGAGATTCATCGTCTCCAAAAACAAGTGTGAGTTTGTCAAGAGGCCTTTGAACATTATTGACTTGCTGGCAATAACTCCCTATTATATTTCTGTCCTGATGACAGTTTTTACAGGGGAGAACTCTCAGCTCCAGAGAGCTGGAGTCACTTTGAGAGTCCTGAGAATGATGAGGATTTTTTGGGTGATTAAACTTGCCCGCCACTTCATTGGCCTCCAAACACTTGGCCTGACTTTAAAGCGATGCTATCGGGAAATGGTGATGCTGCTTGTCTTTGTTTGTGTGGCTATGGCAATCTTCAGTGCACTTGCCCAACTCCTTGAACATGGATTGAAAATTGGGAAACCGAATGAAGGCTATGCCAGCATCCCAGCTGCTTGCTGGTGGGTTATCATCTCGATGACTACTGTCGGTTATGGCGATGTGTGTCCCATCACTATACCCGGGAGGATTCTTGGAGGGATTTGCGTGGTCAGTGGGATTGTTTTGCTGGCCTTGCCAATTACTTTCATCTATCACAGCTTTGTACAATGTTATCATGAGCTGAAGTTTCGGTCTGCTAGGTACAGCAGGAGCATCTCTGCCGAATTTTTAAATTAACGAGTAGCACAAATGCATTTCATAATAGCACTAAATATATCAACAGAATTGACTGGACCCTCCTCGTCCCTTCGTTTCTTGAATGAGAGCAGAGTGAAACGTTTGACCCCTATAGTGGCTGAGAGAGGCCGTGACGAGAATGAAGTCTTCATTTGTTACTTACATCAAGCACCAGAATCTTCAGCCCTTTGGACTTCTGCATTGATACACACTGTTGTGGGTGAAGCACATGCATTTCAAAAAACAAATTCAATTATATTTTAAAATACCAAATCTTTATTTCAAGTGCTGTTTTCAGGAGCACTGTTGGATTGGATCCAGGCTTAGTGTGCTTAAAGTAAGCCCACTGAAATCATTGGAACAAGTTAGTCATTACTAAATTAATCTGTGTTACCTAAGCCTGAATCTAACCAATTGTACATTATTTGGTCCCAATCCAAAAGTTACAAGTCACTATCTTTGTGTTCTCAAGTGTGGATGAATGTGATTTATTTATTTTTAAATAACAGCCTCTTGTGCCGTATGGCAAGCAACTCATGAAACCTTGGGTGAAGTTGCAAAAAAGTAAATGTGATAAGTCATGGAGAGGGGAAGACTGCTCCTCTGGAGTAAGAAAAGCCAGTATTCCTGCTTATAATGAAAATCCTCTGGGCATGCCAATAAAGCTCTCTGGATTGCAGCATTTGTGTGTAAGTTGTGATTTATGGGGCCACTGAAAATGTTTTAGGGAAAACCACCTGTGTTCTAAGAAACATATTCATCTACTTTCTGAAAATTTGTTGCAGGTTGTTCCCTTTTTTACAGAGAAAAATCAGAATTGGTCTTGAAATCAGCCTGCAGGAAAAATATAGCTGTTATTTCAAAACACTTAATGGTAACCAGTAAGACTCAATGAGACATGGCTACCATCTTCTCTGTCCACATGTATTATGGGTTCCCTTGGTACAAGAATGGGCAACATTGTTCATGTGACTCCTTCAATCCTTGTATTGCTCTGCCACCAGTAGAAGCATATAGCTGAAAACTAGCAACACTGTCAAAAACCTTTCACCGAATATGGAAGAGCATTACAAGTTCATGTCCCTGGCAAATTCCCCATTCCAATTGAATTCAACTGTTAATTTACGGTCAAAGACCAGCAATATATTGAAATTAAAATATATTATAATTAAAATATAATTTCCATAACCTCTAAAAAACAGGTAATCCATTTTAAAACATTAACTTCCATGTTAACATCTTCCTTTAAGACATCTAATAACATAGTAAACAAGCACAGATTAAACATGTGTCAAAAGCCATAATTGCATCATTGAAGGTTCATTGTCATAACTTTAGGCCCCCATTCCTGTTTTTTTTATTTCTCTTGCTTCCTCCTGTCAGTACTTCTCTGTGAAAAAGCAAAGTCAGTTTGCCTACCATTAGCAACAATCTCTGCCTATAGAACATAGAAGCTTGCTGGTATACCTGGACGGACTTTGAGCTAAATTAAATTGTTAGTCCCAACTAGATTAACTAATCCCAACTAATTGAATGAATGGGGCTTAATAAATCAGATATGTCCTGTAGATTTAATAGGCCTGCTCTGGTTGGCAGTAACAATTGAATTCAGCTCATTTTTGTTGTCACTTGTGCAGAGTGATGGTAAATTTGATCAGGCCACCTTGGTTTCATATATGAGCAGGTGCCCTCACTAAGCTCCAGTCATATACCGGGATTCCTTTGCCAAGCAGGCAATTTGTAAGGAGTTGGTTGAAAATGGTTTTACAAACACTTGAAGTGATTTTCATACAGAGAGTCATATATTTGCATATAAAAATACTGGCAGATAGCTTATTCTGTTTCCAATTATTTTCTGACGATTTAAAAACACTGGCAGAGAACTATGGCTACATTTAATTTTGGCACACTCCACCTAACAAACATGCATACGCTGGAGGAAATAATCTTATCTCTGTAACTCTGTAGTAACAAAAGTAAGATAAGTTACTAGATTCTGACTTTTAACTGAGATGTGAATCTCTTATTTCTTTGTGCACATGTTTTTCTGTGGGCTTAAAAGTTCCTTTTATTTTTATTTTGTTGCCTTTACACTGGCATTCTAGTCCTTAGTATTTCTATTTATTACATGTTAAGGGACGTGGTGGCGCTGTGGGCTAAACCGCAGAAGCCTGTGCTGCAGGGTCAGAAGACCAAGCAGTCGTAAGATCGAATCCACGCGACGGAGTGAGCGCCCGTTGCTTCCACCTAACAAACATGCATACGCTGGAGGAAATAATCTTATCTCTGTAACTCTGTAGTAACAAAAGTAAGATAAGTTACTAGATTCTGACTTTTAACTGAGATGTGAATCTCTTCTTATTTCTTTGTGCACATGTTTTTCTGTGGGCTTAAAAGTTTCCTTTTATTTTTATTTTGTTGCCTTTACACTGGCATTCTAGTCCTTAGTATTCTATTTATTACACGTTAATATGATGGAACTTCATTCCAAGTAATTGGGTAAGGATCAGCAACAGATATGATAGGAAAAGACCACTATTAAATTCCATAATATTTAGTTGTTGGCCATGTAGTAGATATTTAACATCACTATTTTTGTTGTTATTTTCCCTACTTCATTAACAATCAAACTGCAATAGCCAGAAAGGTATAGTAGACAATAAAATACTAGGAACTCTGAACCAATTCCTACCTAGTCTTGAAGGTCATGGCACCAGGTTATCACTGAACAAGTTTCTATTCCTAGCTTAACATTTCATAAAGTGAGTTATCCATGTTGAGATAATACATGTAGAATTATCCAAACTTAAGATTCTTGGAGGAAGAACAGACAACAATATATATAATGGGATTTCTTATCTGCATCTGATAATGATCTATGCTGAAGGAAGCCATTCTAAATTGATATTCTTTAATGTAATTTGTTGATTGAGCAAATGAAAATAAAACACAGCTACACTGCTATGGAAAAGAAGCTCTTTAGCTGAATATAAGCTGCACTGTATAAAAAAGCAGTATGTATTCTCTTATAGAACCAAAATAAAAGAATTATTGTTCTTATGTAGTACTGCTCAATGGTGGCATTCATATTACTTGAAAAGCTGCCATGTAGGTACACTTACTGTTTTAGCAGCATAAAGACAGCTGTCAGTACTGTTTGCTGATGTCAGTAGGAAGCCATAAATTTGGTTTGTTCATCTGAAAATACAGTAAAGGTGGTAACAGTGTTTACCAGGAATTGTATTTGGGATCATCTGTACTTCGTATGCATTTTCATTCAACAGTTTGTAGAAAGGTGACCAAAAATGTCTAGTATTGGACAACCATCATTAATTTGTTTTTCATTTAGATAATTTTAGTCATCAAGCCAGGTTTTCATCACCTTTGGCACAGTTTACTGTGGTTATCAATGGATTCCCTCTTTGCCTACAGTCATGCTCCATTCTGGGAGCTCAGAGACAACCTCAGTATGTGTACTACACATGGATCAATACTTTCCTACATTGGTACAGTTAATATGGTCTATAAACTGAAGAGATTCTGTGTTCTGGCCAGTTGAAGAAAACTCAGGAAAGTTTCAAATATGAAGCAGATGAGATCATACTTACTCGTGAGGTCACCTTTGCACTGCTGTGTAAGTGGACATCAGTAGATTGCAAGAGAGAAAAAAGATCAATAGACGTAAGTTCTTTGCCTCCTAAGTGCCTGCTATAATAGTTCACTTACCTCCTGAGTGTCTGCTGTAGCTATGCACTTAACATTTTCCTAAAATAGAGACCAACCAACAATACAGAGCAACCAATACCAATAATGTCAGATAGTTCCTTATAAAGCTCAGACTAAATTGTGGAACAGATCCACTATTTCTACAAAGTCACCAACCCTTGTTGCTTCATTTTTCAAAAGAAGTGTTCTAGATGTGTCACACAGAACACACCATTCTCAATCTACTGGAAATCCCATCTGTATGAGGCTAACTGAAATTACTATGTTAAGGCTGCTCAGTCCTGTATTTCCTAAGAAGCTCCACTTAGGCCAATCTGTCCTCCCCATAGGTAAATGTGAATAAGGTCTGAAGGCTCAAACTGCTCTTTTAAATGTGATACTAAATTCAGTGAGATCAACTGGCTGGACTCCAGTTGTTCATCATGAGCATCATTAAGAAAATGCTAACAATATTGCAGATAAAAAGCCGCTGAAGTGATTTCCTTTATAAGAAAATGCTAACAATATTGCAGATAAAGACCAAGCTGCTGAAGTGATTTCCTTTTGTTTACATTGTCTACAAAGAAAAGAGAAACCTGTATTTTTAAAATATTAGTGTAAAAAAACATAAATGGGAAGGTAAGATACAGCAGTGACGAGAGAGTGCAAACAATGAAACAGGAACATCACAAGAACATGACCTAACATATGTACTATTATTAGGCTTCCAGTCTCTGATGATGAAAGGTGGAACCCTATATGTATATACTCTTGCCTGCAGATAAGTGGTGTTTAATATAATGGCAGGTGGTATCAAGATACCTCAGTGAGCTGGAGCATCTGGATGCAGAGCCAGGGGTCAGAGGTTCAATTCCCCACTGTGCCCTCTAGGAGAACAGCCAGTCTGTGTGGCCCTGGGCTAGCTGCACAGTCTCAGGGTGGCCCCACAAGAAGTGGACTATTATGCTACTTAGTGAGCTGGAGCATCTGGATGCAGAGCCAGAGGTAGGAGGTTCAATTCCCCACTGTGTCCTCTAGGAGAACAGCCAGTCTGTATGGCCCTGGGATAGCTGCACAGTCTCAGGGTGGCCCCAGAAGAAGTGGACTCTTATACTACTTCTGAGTACTCTGTATCTGGAAACCCCTGGAAGAGGTTTCCATAAGTCAGAACTGACTTGATAACTTCATCCTCATTATTCTGTTTGAAAAGAAAAGACATTTGAAATCTAGGGGATTATAGAATTGCTTGCGAGTTCTGGGATATTACAGAAATATAGCATACCATGAGAGTACCCCTGAAATTAATGGATCCTATACCAATTTGCACAAGCCCTGCAGCTTCAGTGAGAACGTTGGCAGGGGTCATTCATCACGGAGCACTGTTTTTAAAAATTCAGTATAAAGATCATGATTACATCATGGTGTAATAAGGATTCATACAAATCCAATGATACCCAAGGGTGTTTTGAAATGCTAGGCTATATATGTTATGTTTAGAAATAGCTTTAACTTTAGTTAAATTGTAGGATGTAAAATTGTTACCTTACATGTATTTCACTTTTTTCCCCCTATTAAAATGCATTCTTATTTTTGAATAGGAGAATAAGGATCCTTTGCATTGGCTGTGCGTATGTGCCCACATATTTTTGTCCACACACAGTGCAACTATAGGCAGCAGTGCAAAGGTAGCTTGTGACTGGTACAAGCAGGTCCCCCCTACCCTGAAATTCTGAAGGGATCCCCTCTCCCAGGTGGTCATGAGTTGGCTTTCATATCATGGTTATAATGTATACTAAAATCACCATCATAATCATCTTAGAATTGCAGAGCTAGAAGAGACCCTAAGGATTATTGGGCCCAGCCGCTTGTTAAGAAGGCACAATGGGGAATTGAACCCCCAACCTCTGGCTCAGCAGCCAGATGTCTAAACCACTGAGCTATCCAGCACTAATGCACTGAGGTCACAGTTCTTTC